TTGCCTTTACCTCTTTTATTTATAACATCAAGCACGAAGAACTCGTTGGAAGCCAGCTTGTAAGTAAGCATTGCGTTCTCTCCAACGTCCGCATCCGACGCGCCCTCTAGCGGAAACCGCGAGTCCAGCAGTCTAGACTCGGGTATGGAGAGCTTTTGTTCCTTCACGGAGAACACGGGCGGGTTGTCGTTGACGTCCCTCACCTCCACCTCCACGTGGAACACCTGCAGCGGCCGCTCCACCACCACCTCCAGGTGCACGCTGCACTCCGCGCTCCGCCCGCACAGCGCCTCGCGGTCCATCCGCGCGTTCACGAACAGGATGCCGTTCTGCACGTTCACCTCCAGCAGGTCCCCGCCGGCCCTGGACGCCACCCGGAACAGGCGCGGCACCAGCTCGGCCAGCGGCAGCCCCAGGTCCTGCGCCAGGCGGCCCACGAACGTGCCGTGCTGGGCCTCCTCGGGGACCGAGTAGCGCAGCTGGGCGCTGCCCGCCCGCCAGGCTGCGAGCAGCAGGAGCCAGGGCAGCAGGCGCCGGGCTCCGGGACCTCCTCGCTGGGAAAACAGCATCGCAAAAGCACACCCTTCGAGCCACAGTCGCCTTACTTCAATACCATCCTGCTTTTACTCCATATTTCCGATAATTTATCTCCTTACCGGTTTGGTCTTCTCCAGGGCGGTGACAAAATGGAGCTTCTTCCTTTAATTTCTAGCGATCAGTACATTTCCACGGAGAAGACTTTGTGGTGTACAGCGACACCATGTGGCTAACGTGTAATTTAGATACATTCACTGACCTTATATACAGTCTATATTATTTTGCAGTTTACTCAATGCAATCTTTTTCATGTTTGTGTCCTTTAAAGACCCAGGGAATATGTATGTCAATATTTTTCTTTATCTGTTGTCACAAAGGCATTACAATTGAATTTGGAAAAATTCAGGTGTGCTTAAATAACCTCTGATTGCATCATTTTATTTAAAACTACTTATCAGATTACACTTTTTATTATTAGACACTTGAAATGGAATGCTGAAGTTCTAAAATACATATTTGACCACTAAAGTTCACCTTATTCTAGGGTATTTTGGATATTTGTGGGATTTTTTAAAATTTACTAAATTTGTTTGAAACAGAGTGACAGACGAAGATCTCCTACCTGCTGGCTCACTCCCCAAATGCCCACAGCAGGGAGGGGCTGTGCAGAGCTAAGAGCCAGCTGTTCTCCCACATGGGACCCAAGAACTTGGGCCATCATCTGTTGCCTCCCTGGGTGCACATCAGCAGGAAGTTGGAATAGGGATGCAAGCTGGGACCTGAACTCAGGCACTCCAATATGGTATGCAGCTGTCCTAACTGTTGAACCAAATGCCTGTCCTAATATTTGTTTTTTAAATATTAGAATTATTACATTTCCTGTCAAAAAAAGAATTATTACATTTATTGTGCATTTATAAATGCATAATCACCAGTTAATTATATATGACACTTCTAGAAAGTTTTCTCAAATACATTTTAAAATTATTCAATTTTGTTTGAATAATTTCATCATTTCCTGATCATGTAAATGTTAAAAATAAGATGTTTGGGACATTTTTCTTTGTTGTTTGTTATACAATATAATGACCTAAGTATTGAATGCATAACTTCGGCTTCCAAAAGTCATTATTACAAATTGAATTGGTGTCCATGAGATATTTATTCCCATATCAAAATTTAAGCCATATGTTTTTCTTATTAAAACCAAATATTATATTTTAATAAAAATAATCTGGATATTGAACCACTATCAAAAACACATACTGAGAATCCTATAAAAGTCCACAGTCAAAAATATAGTGTGAATCTAGTGGGAAGAGTGTTTAGAAGAAATAATTCAGAAATAACCTATTTGAAACCTCTCTTCCAACTTCAATCCAATTCATAATCAGAACCCCACAGTTCAATAAAATTTTGACTAAAAATTGTGGGCAGAATAACCCATAGCTAGTTATTTTTTAAATGACCTTAATATTTTTACTTTAAGTACTAAGAATATTTTAAAATATTAATATATATATAGGATTATTTAATCCATTATAATTGTATAATCAGAAAACCCATATCCTTGTTTATTTGATAATATATATGAAACATGGAGCTATTTTAAAAACCAGTTTGAACATTTTAATGATAGTTCATGTAGTAATTACTTTGTTAGAAAGTTACAGAGGCCAGCATTATGGCATAACAGGTAAAACTGCCATAACGACACTGGCATCCTATATGGATCCCAGTTCAAGTCCCAGTTGCACCGCTTTCCATTCTGCTCTCTGATAATGCACCTGGGAAAGCAGAGGAATATGGCCCAAGTCCTTGGACTCCTGTACCCACTTGGGAGATCCGAAAGAACCTGCTGGCTCCTGGCTTCATCCTGGCCCAGCTATGGCTATTGTGGCCATGTGGGGAGTGATCCAGTGGATAGAAGACTCTTTCTCTCTCTCTCTCTTTCTCTCTCTCTCTCTCTCTCTCTCTCTGCTTTTCAAACAAATAAAAAATAATCAAATCTTTTTTAAATAAAGAAATGAGGGACCAGCACTGTAGCACAGTAGGTTAGTCCTCTACCTGCAGTGCCAGCATCCCATATGGGCACCGGTTTGAATCCCAGCTGCTCCTCTTCCAATCCAGCCCTCTGCTAAGGCTTGGGAAAGCAGTAGAAGATGGCCCAAATTCTTGGGCCCCTGCACCCATGTGGGAGACCAGGAAGAAGCTCCTGGCTTTGGATCTGCCCAGCTCTGGCCATTGCAGCCATTTGGGGAGTGAACTAGCAGATTGAAGACCTCTCTCTCTCTCCTCACTGTCTGTAACTCTACCTCTCAAATAAATAAAATATTTTTTAAAAGAAAGGAAAAGGCACAGTAATGTAAAATATATATACTCTTATTCCAATTTCAGAACCCGGAATGAGTCTTAAATACTGGTAGAACAATACTGTCAACATTTAGATGTATAAACTACTTTATGTGTTGTAAATGTGGGGACCTTAAGAATGACACAGTGGTGAGCTCTCTGAGTCTTCTTTTTGTCTTTTCTGTTACACACTTAGACCTGAAGAAGCCAGCAATCAAGAAACATCATTAGATACAGATGAAAAAAGCTTTAAAAAAAAAAAAGGCTCTCTCTAGACAAAGGACCAGGAAAGAAGCAACCTAGCAAGATAAAAAGCTTTAAAATAATTATATACTCCAGGCAAATACCACGGTGGGGGGGGAGGAAATGACCCCACACCAGCAAAGGTTGTGTGGGACCTAAATTTACACCCTTGCAAGGCCGTCCTGAGGCATCCCAGCCCCTCCCCCGGGCAGTGTCAGGGAAATCGAGGTATGGAGCTGGTACGTTCATCACCACCCCTGGTATAGAGCATCGCGGTTATGATGTCGGTGGAGATCATGGGGAAGACTCCACCCCTACCCAGCAGGAACATCACACTCCCTTCCCAACTCTGCCGGATGGTGTCATGGAGGTCTAATGGAGAGCCAAGACCATCCTCCAAGTGATAACAAGGCCACCCACATGGTAGCATCAGTGGAGACACATGCCAACCAGAACGCCCACCCTACCTAGCCACACAGAGCACAGAGTGTCAGTGGAGGCTTTCGGGAACTGGGACCTCCACCTCCATGTGGCAGTAATGAGGCAGTGGGTGCCCAGCCTCTCTCTGACAGCAGTGTCAAAAGAAGCTAGCTAAAATAAAAGGTTTATGTAAGACCCAGAGTTTCAGAATGAAAATGCCCATGTTTCAGCAACAACAGCAGCAAAACACCTCTATCACATCAAGAATCAGGAAGATAACAAATTGAATTTGAAAGAATTAACAGAAATCTGCCTTTATCCAAAGTTTTCAGTTCAAAAATATTAAATGGAAAACTCCAGAAAGAAATGATGATCAACAGGGTTTAAATTGTGTGCCATTCAGAGTGGCATGAAGGAACCCTGTGCCACCCTGCTGTGTCCCGCCCAGGACAGGAATCTTTCCTCTAGCCAGTGTGTCCATGCTGTGTGTGTGCTGTCTGCTCATCAGGCACACACTGCCAGTTTTGATTGTCAGACCAACTGCCATGGTATTGCATGTGTTCATGCTTCCTTTATGTGAAAAAGTGAAATTTTTCAGCTTAAGAAGGAAAGAAAAAAAATCATACACTGAGGTTGCTAAATCTAACGGTATAATATTTTAAGAGAGACTGAGAGAGAAACCATATTCATATAATTTTTATTATAGCATATTGTTAAAATTCATCTGTTTTTCTATTTCTATTATTAGTTATTGCTAGTAATCTCTTACCAAACCTAGTTTGTGAGTTAAACTTCATCACAGCTATATATGTATAGGAAAAAAAATAGAATACAGCTGAGCACTATCCTCAGATTCAGGCATCTGCTGGGGGTCTCAAAATATATCCTCTATAGAAGAGGATGGGGCTGGCGCTGTGGTGTAGCAGGTTAAGCATCTGCCTGAGGCACCTGCATCCCACGTGGGCACTGATTTGTGTCCCAGCTGCTCCACTTCAGATCCAGCTCCCTGCTGATGGCCTGGGAAAGCAGTGGAAGATGGCCCAAGGGCTTGGACTACCCTACCCATATGGGAGAACAGCAAGAAGCTCCTGGCTTGACTTAAGATCAGCCCAGCTCCAGCCATTGCAACCATCTGGAGAGTGAACCAGCAGATGGAAGACCTCTCTCTATCTCTCCCTCTCTCTGTCTGTAACTCTGCCTGTCAAGTAAATAAATAAATCTAAAAAATAAAAAAGGTCAACTACTCTATAGATGTCAAAAATGAGATGACAGAGCTGTTAAAATTTCTGACAAAGACTTTTAAAGCAACCAATGAGCAACTGCTTCAATGAGAAATTGCAAACATACTTGAAACAAATCTAAAAATATCCTCAGTAATGAAATAGAAAGTATCAGCAAAGAATCAGATGATTAAAAGAACCAAATGAGGCCCGGTGCCGTGGCTCACTTAGCTAATCCTCTGCCTGTGGCGCCGGCATCCCATATGGGTGCTGAGTTCTAGTCCCGGCTGCTCCTCTTCCAGTCCAGCTCTCTGCTGTGGCCTGGGAAGGCAGTGGAGGATGGCCCAAGTGCTTGGGCCCCTGCACCCGCATGGGAGACCAGGAAGAAGCACCTGGCTCCTGGCTTCGGATCAGTGCAACACCAGCCATGGCAGCCATTTAGGGGGTGAACCAACGAAAAAGGAAGACCTTTCTCTCTCTCTCTCTCTCTCTCTCTCTCTCACTGTCTGTAACTCTACCTGCCAAATAAATAAAAATTTAAAATCTTTAAAAAAAAACAAATGATATTTTAGAACAAATACAATAACAGTGCAATAGAAAAATGGAGTAGTCAAAAAAGAATAAACTAAAAGAAAAAATAGAAATTACTTAATCTGAACAATAAAGATAAAATAGACTAAAAAATTAAAAAATAAAACAAAACCTCAGGGACATCTAAGACTATAAAAAAATAACTAACATTCATATCATTGTAGTCTTGGAAGAGGAGAAACAAAATGAGGCTAGGAAATAATAATGGATAAAAACCTCCCATATCTATTAAACAACATAGGAAGGTGAACAAATTCAAAAAAGGACAAACAAAAAAAACCCCATATCAGAAAACAT